ATCAGCAGTGGGGATAGAACAAGGAATCACGCGGCTGGAAGAAATGTTCGTAGTTACTAAGCGTGATAGTACTTCGTTTGTTCTAGAAACCAGACAGAAGCATAGGGTTATACTTTTGCAAATCAGATCGAGCCGAAGTGGCGAAATTAGACTACATCCTTTTTACCTTTAATTTTGTTTTAAAATATTTGGATAGTAGATAACCTATACGTCTGTAACAACGGTCATGAAAAGGTGTCCTTATTCAAATGGACGAACGATTATCAACCGATGTATTTACAAAAATGTTGCGTAAATACATATGCCTCTAGCAGTTGTTGATATCGTTGATTTGGCAATGGTCATCGCCTGGTCGTTGCAGTAGTAACTAACCCTAATCAATCCATTATAACTGGTATATAGTTCGATTTACCGATTGCGTCGATATAATAGCAGCGTTCGAATGTGCAGGGTTAAGCGCTTCTATAGAAAGCTCTGAGCGGTCAAACGAATCAGTTAATATGTACTATTAGGAACAGCGAAACAAGGAACACTCGAACGTGGGGGTGACCTGCGTCGCATCAATTCTGTAAACACCGCCAGTTCGTAAGCGCATCTGCCATCATTACGAGGCGTAGTAATATCTACATTTCACGTAATGATATCCGAGAAGCATGATCGGCCTTTGACTAATCGGAGAAGACGGGGGTCCATGCGGTGACACTGCCGAATACCAGCCGCAGATCGTCGCCCAACCCTGTCACGTCGCGCGCAAAAGCTATGACAGCTCATGAAGACCTTTTTGTCAAGGATGATATCTTCAACTTATGGCTTCGATGATGGGGCAGTGCGGGCTGAAGCCTGTCTTCGCTTTGTGGACACACGCGGCCGTTGCTGTGCATGCCCAGCACCGGGTCCTCTCCGAGATCGAGTGCACTGGATAAATGGGACTCTTGTCTCATCATCTTGCACTTCAACCCAAGAGGATAGGGCACAGGTTTCAAGTGTATCTTTGGCGCGAACATAGGCGTTGGTATTCAGGAGATCCGTATACATAAAAGTAGGTCACTGCAAAAGGTTTTTTCAGACATTTAGTAGCTATAAAGTTGATCCGGCTGCCCGTTCTCGAGCGGACAGATATCTGTTATTGATGTACGATCGTCCACCGTAAAATGGATCTTGCTTATTGACTACTGTTTTGTAGATCCGTTTATGAACGCATTGTTGTAGGAACTCGTTACAAGTCATACACCTTTACGCTTGCTTTGAGATGGCCAACATTTGCATGATTCGAGCCGGTTTGTACAATGACGAATTCAGAGATTCCTTTGAAACAGCCCCCCACGATAGTATAAGGTGCACTTGCTAAGTTTTTCTGTTTTCGTAACAAAGAAATATAAGAGTTGTGTTATTCAATGTGTATAATACTTTTGATAAAACAGCTATCTCTTGTTATTGTTTTTACGAAACAGCCTGGTGCGTCAAAGCGTTTGCAATCAGTAAACTTAGACGTCAAAATACGCTCGAATATACAATCCTACTACCTAGGATGCGTACTGGACATGTATATAAAAATTATAGTGCGTTGAATATTCTATTCGAAACTGTTTAACCTGCCCATGGGCAAGCCGAGAATCGACATCGATACAAACTCTACTTAATAGTATAGTTGCTAGCCTATTCGTATCAATATCGGCCGTACCCCTTTAATGTTTATTATGCAGTTTAATACTAACAAAGAGGGAAAACATTTTTATGTTGTTTGGGCCATTTGGGTCAAATGTCTTTACGTCTTTTCAGTTCCCATTCAGTGTGATCTTTGCCAATGGTGACGTGACTTAGCTTTAGCATCCACGAGGCTGCGGCCAACGTTCAATTTGCCTTGCTTTAGGAGGTTCACTGTCTGTCATTGTCCCTGTTATTGCTACTGCCGACTGGCTGCAAAATCAGAGAAAGGGAAGTAAAAACCGCAGCAGCAGCAGCAATGATCAGTGTATCCATACTGCGTCCGATATTCGTCCCTCGTATTTAGCTGTACAACAATTGCAGTGTGATCGTGTCAATGTCGGCGCTGCCACTGGTGCCGCTCGCTACGCTGGCGACAGAAATCAAGAACACGATGACTTCCGAAGCAGCGACAGTCCAGCTAGCGAATGCTGTCGACGCCGGTATCGGTGACGTTAGCAATGATCGACCTGAACCCTGCCGTCACCATAGTCCTTGTCGACGTGGAAAGGAGAAATGTGGGAAGGCGAACGTCGTCCGACCGGGAGCGAGGCTCGAGCGGGTGTGGGGTGGACGCTGGCGCTCGAGACGCCGGACACTGGCGGGCTGGAAGATGAACCGAGGAATAAATTAGACACACACAAACCACTATCGCCGCCATCGGCAACCGCTCAGGCACGGATCGACTGGCCAGCAACGAGAGTTCCGCCAGAGCGAGCCGCCAGCGCTGGCTTTAACCAGCGGCGTCGCTGGAGTTGTTAGGGACGCGACGGTGCCGACTGCAGACAGGTCAGTGACATCAGGCGGCACAAGCTGCTGTAGCAGCGGCAACATAGGCTAAAGTCGCCTTTTGTCGTTCGCTTACGATGGCGACGCTGATGATGAACGCTGATTTCGGCCAAGTTGGGCTTGTGCGTTCTATTGCGTTCAGCTGTATTATGTCGCAACGCCTGCTCTGCTCGGCTTGACGCTGGCAGAGTATTAGTGGTCCAGTCGGCCACGCTGATCCTGAGCGGTGGCTTGCTGTTGCTGCTACCGATTTTGGAAGCTCAGGGGTAAGAGGGGTAGAAAGCACGCGCTCTACTGAGAATCGCAAGAGAGAAAACTGATGAACAAAGCACAGTTGAATTGTTAGCGGCGGCGGCGACGGCGCCAAGCGACGGTCGCTGTTAACTGAGTCGCGTCTTTTGCAGTGAGTCGCTTGAGAACGAACTGATTGAATTTCAAGCATTTTCTTCGTTTTGGGGTTATTGAAGTTCAGGCTGGAGCAGCTCGAATGGTATTAGCATCGATGGGTAGGTGGCAGTGATAATAGTGATGATCGCTGCAAGCAAAATAGGGCTACAGCTGACGTCGTTAGCAAATCGTCTTCGGTTCATTCTGTCATGTTCACTTGGTCTGCGGCCACAAGCGACCAGGTCATCGCTGTGCCATGAACGTCACAGGCAGAACAACTCCGCCACAATCGCGCCAACATCGACGTTGCCACCGTTAGGGGACCAACACGAACTAAACAGAAACTCCATAAATAACGCAACGCAAAAGAGAACCGCGTTCGTGGGATCAATTCTTAGCTTTATTCTAAAGAGTCGTTTGCTTCGAGTGGACCCGCTGCTGTTTCAATAACAGATGCAGCTGGAGAAGCGTATGTTACTCAACTACTGGACCGTAACGCCTGTCCTCGCTAGAACATATTGACAGACCTGAGGGATGAGATGGTCGCTCATTTGTTTCGATAAATGCGCATTTCTGTGTGGATATTAAAAGCTTCCGTGAAAGCGCAACGGGGTATAATAAACGAATGGTTATGAGTGAGAATAACCATAACCTGTTGAGGTCGGGGGCGTTCAAATTCAAAGTGTCAACTGAATAGGCAAAATATACCTAGATAGAAGTAGCATATGCGTAAAGGTGTTCAACGTCTAGGCTACGGCCAGCGCGGGGAACGCTATTTACGAGAGCAGTCCGCTAATTAAACTTGTTGTTGTACGTAGTGAAGAACGTAAAACTTGAACCATAATAGAGTAACACTGCTTTTGGACTACTAGAAACTGTGAAGACTGGCTGGCCGACGGGATAGAGCATGTCTGTTTATGTCAGTTAGAGAGAAACGGGAGCTACAGAACTGTCTTACTTTAGTAAAGAATTAAATTTATTGACATTTACTAAGATAAACCCCATGGTCCTGCCGCGTCTTCGATAATCCATAGAAATCATGTAAAGCGAAATAGGTATTCGGCTGGTGCATGGGGCAAAAGGAAACACCTATCCGCCAATTGCTGCCCTCCACTGAATGCACTAGTAAACAGGTCGCCGTTCAGAGAAAAGCCGCTATAAACATTAACAGAAGAAGCTGTTGACGCACGTGCATGGATCAGGGGGCTACAGAAGATGCCAGCAGATGATAAGCAACAAGGCGGCAGCCGCGCTGACAGAGGGGATTCACACCGCACAGGCGAACACCTCATACAGACATCCCGTTGCTGAATGGATTCAGCGACTCTCGCCGTGTCTCTCTTGCCACATTGGACGGTGTTTCGAGGTGCACTGAAGAATACCTAAGAGATCTGAGAACCTCTGCCGCAGTGCGGTGGCAAGGGTGGAACATGGCAAAATAGCAATAGACCAAAGACTCTTGCTTCATTGGCCAGGTCTTTGACGCCATAGAACTGCCGCTTACATAAGATCACGAGGGTTTCTAAAGTAAGCTGATAGGAAAATTCGCTTCATAAATGTACCTCACTGCCATTTACTGCATTACAATATTCCATGAAGGAACTGTTTCTGAATCTACGTCTCAACACTGACATAATCTGAGTTGAGAAACGGTGAATGTTCCAAGTTCTACGTTCGGTGCGGCCGTTACCGCATCGCATATGAAAATGCTTCGTAACGCGAGCTTTGCTAGCGAGAGGAAGATGTCCCGCATGGATCTTGTAGTCGTATTCGTTTATTTACTGTAACCGATGAATCTACATCGACCACTAGACCTCGATCGGTCAGCTTTGAAAGAAGACTTTAAAAATGGTTACTTCGAAGATCGCTCGATACGGTGGCAAAAGAATTGATGCTATTATCTATACGAACACGCACAAATCACACGGAACCTCATTTGATGACGAGGTCCTTTGACAGCGACCGATAGCCCGTGGGACACGCCTATAAGAACATCCATATAAGTGCAACGATAATCAAAACCGTTTGCGTTTCAGGTGTCTTCCCCTAACTATTTTAACGCATTATCGATCTTTCTGTCTTGTCTTTGTTTGCTTTGTTTGTGAATCTGTCCATTACAGGGCTTTATAAATAGCGGTTACGCAGTCAATGGAATCGGCCATGTGAGTATCTGACAAGCATTGATGTATTTGATTTAATTAATTAGCCTGCGCTTGCGTCGAGAATTCGTCGTTTCCATTTTTGTGTGTTCACAACTCTGCTCTTACGTGTGACGATATTATTTTATCATTTGTATGATCCCTCCTTCCTCTGACCGCTTGTTAACCGATCAGTCATTTTTAAGTGAGTTCATTGAAGAAACGTCTTCTTTGTTTATCAGTCAGTTAGCGAAAAACATCACAAGAGGTATTGCGATATTGACTCGCTCTAGCTTCGAAATTTCGTGGGGCTAAATCCGTCGACATGTGAAGATAGCTATAGGAATAACCGTCTCGAGTTTACAGCGGGCGCGCTAAGTTTCGTTTTTCGAATCACTGCCGTAATTATATCTACTGCAGTTTTCGTTAACATCTTAGCGTTACAAGGTTTACTACCGTTCGTAAAGTTGTAGTAATTAAGACCGGCGGAATAGACCGAAATGGGGGTAGCCGTCAATTAGCCTTTGCGCCGAAAGCATATGCCTGACTGATGGCATTTTCAATGTACTTATTTGGTAGTCTTCGAGTCTGTCCGATAGAGCGCTGTTAACCATGACGCGCGGACGACCGCAAGTCGCAAAAGGATTGTTCTGTTAGGCTCAGATGCTGAGAAAGCAAGCGGACTGAACGTAGAAGGAAACTGCTTGACGTCAGCGTTGACTTTAACTTGATCTGTCAGCGGCCTTTGCTGGCATTGTTGGGGTGAGTTGTTGTTCCAATTTTAACTTACGTTCATATTCTGGGTTATGTCGAGTGGGTATTGGAAAATAATCTCTGCCCTCTCCGTCTTTATCTCTATTGCATCGCGACGCTTGACAATGGCTCAGGAAGAGATAGGATGATGAGATTTACTCGACATTTTCTATTCGTGCTCTTACGGACACACTGTCATTCTTTTCCCTGTTCTCTGCCCTGCCTCGACAACCGCGGTAAACTCACGAAAGCCACTCGTACACAGAGAAGCTCACTGGCATCTATTGAACTTAGCCGATCCATATATCCGCCGTAATCATCTCAGTGCGGCAAGGAAGCGGGTTGCACGGGCAGGTATCGCGATTTCGACTGCTGTTGCTGCTGCCAGTATGACCGACTCGATCAGTCAGTAAGATCAGTGCTTCAATACGTAAACATGGCACGTGTACGTGTGTATGTATGTAGGTATGTCAAAGGAAGAGAGGCCATCGCATTGAGAAAAGCGTCCGTGCGCATTTGTCGTACGTTCATCGTTTCCGATGGTCGTTGCTACTTTTGGCAATGGAACCAAGCTTCGCTGTTTTGTTGAAATCCATTTAATTGTGCGCTGATATTGGGGTGACTCCTAAATGCCGACATCGTCGCATATACATTAAATATAGAATGAAGTTCGCAGTCATCATTTCGATTTATCTGCCATGTATATAACAACGAGTCTATCGACAAGAACCTATACACAAAACTTACCTATGAAGTTTTAGGAAAAAGTTTTATATACGTGCTGCGCATACGATCACTTGCATCACACTTGGCTACTAGAACATAGCCCGGTTGAGTTATCTAGTGCTGTTAGCGCAATAACAATAAATGTCTCTCCCTGTCTTCCTCTCTCTCACGCGGGCGTTCTTAGTCGGTTTTTTTTTTTTGTTTTTTTTTTTTCGAGATAGTGTTCGGTATGACGAATTGTAAAGATTCAGTTAGAGATTTAGACGGTTTACTAACAACCTTATGATATACGGATGGTCTAGTTGATATATTTTGTTTTGTGAAGGCATAGCAATGCGTAGTTTTAAGGAATAGAGAAAACTCCAGTCTCTATTGACTCCAGTCGACCATGATCCTCTGCAGCAGTGAAGGCTGTTTCGTAATGGGGCTATAGAGTCTGCACAGAGCACGAACGCAGTATGATTTGATTATTGCGAACTATTTTAGTTGTTATTTGAGTGTGTTTCTGTCATAGTTTTTCTTTGGTCTTCCAGTGGTGGGCGATATTGGCTGCACTCAAAACACGGAGTTGAGTACGCGTAATGACAAACAGGATCGAGTGCTGTACATGCACTTCCTATGAACCTGGATATTGGTATTAATATAAGGCTAAAGTGTACAGGTAGAAGGAACTAGTTGAGCTCTTCTGTTCGTTTCAGCGAGCCAACGACCTGGATGACCTATATATTTAGTAGTGGAAATTACCAGTTAAACGAAGGGAAACAAGATTCGATTTGAAGGAATCTATCTCGCTAGTAAGTATGGGGTAGCGAGAGCAAACAGAGGATTCGAGCAAAAACAGAGGGCTTGCGTCTCCTTTTAACAGTTGCTGGGTCGTCTTGAGAAGAAGTGGATTAGGATCATCGCTAACACCATCGAGCAGTACAGATAGCCTTACCTAGCTACCCATGTAACCGTCTATTGGCTTCGGTCACGAACGTTCGAAAATGCTTCCCTTTAGGCGGCTGAATTACGTGCGCTTAACGCTACTTTTAGGCCATATGAGACTGAACGCGGTCGTGAGCCTCAGTGACAAACAAACAAAAGACCTCATATATATATATATATATATATATATATATATATATATACATTGGAGTTTGTATGAAGCTTGGCAAGTCAAGTGGCTATAACTAAATTGTGCTGTTGTATAATGATTTAAATAATGATGGTGAACGAATGTGGCTGATGCACCCGAGCTCACTAGTGGCTGTGGGGTTTTGGGCTCGTAAATATGAAAATGAGCTGTATCGTAATAAGATCTGCTCATTCAACCATACTTTGTAGATGGCTTTTGTCGCCATATTGATAGAAACCGATGTATATCGATTTACATTTGATAATTGCCCATATTTATTGTCAGTTCCGCCGTGGATCGATATTAAAGGCCGAACTGGTGCAGCCCAGTTGTTCCACTAGCCCAGCTAACCAAATATCTGTCCAAAAATATGTGCAGCTTCACTATTCGAGCATACTACTACTATCGGTGTTCAGAAAACTGAGGATGGTAGATTTCCATGTGAACGATGGAACCGAGCTTATATTGAGCCCCCTGTGCCCCTTCCTAAAATGAAAAATGATACGTCCTCGCTATCCGTTCTTAGCTATGCCCCGGTCTGATCCGTGTTAGTGATGAATAGCTCAGGAGTTCGGAGACCATTTTCTTTAAAATCAGTCAACCACTTTCCTATGTAGTGGTCCAATCCGTTTTGGCCGTCTTAAGACCGTCTAGATCGTCCAGTATCATGCAAGCAAAGCTGACCAAGGCCAAGTGCCCTATCATCTAGCAGCATTTATCTACTACGCAAATACACGTATAATCGATACAAAACGAATTATTTGTCCATCAGCCATTTTGTACAAAAAACGAGCAGAAATTTCTTTGTTTGTTTTCACTAATCAGTAAGTTTTCACCATCTTTTCCGACCAAAGATTTTAACATCGATGGGGCAGGCTCAATGTGGACTGATCAAGTCGTCCCAGCTCAAGTAAGTGGGCTCATGGACAATGACTGAATTGATCTTTCATCTGCCGTACTGTACATTTCAGCACGCTCTTCACAGCTCTGTACCAAATGCTATCTTCGTTATCGTTCGATTGTCCTTTGTGAAAGGCTTCGTAGATAGATAAGGCGATTGTTGGTATTATTCGCCGCAGCCAGACACCCAGGTACAAAACCCTGTATACGTGCTTTTTACGTACACTCAGCCAACGTGCAATCATTTTCCACTTAGGTTGGGTGCTGCTGCTGCTGCTGCTGCTGCTGCCGTTCGAGCGTCTTCTGCTTTTGCCTTGTGACACTTAGTAGCTCTGGCCAATGCTAAACGATCCCCGATCGAGAAACGGTACGACATAGGCGCGTGGCCACCGCGCGGCTACCTGCTTTTGGTCGTGCCGTTTACCACTTTTTCCGAAAACGAAACAATGTGCGTGTGTGTGTGTGTACATATATATATATATATATGTATACCGTACGTAACGTGTGTTGCCGCTTTGTGAATGGCGTTCGTACGTACGGCTCTCAGAGGATGTCTTGGCTGATGTTGATACTTTGCTGGTACTGCTAGTAATATTCGTGACTGTATGACCAGGCCGGAAGCGGCCAGTAGATGCGTCCTGGGAGAACGTTTCATTAATCACAAATAAACGATGAATTATGGACTCGAAACATAATGAGACAACCGTACACACTGGCTGCGTAGAAGCCTGCTGTTTGCCATTGCATCGCAGTTTGCGGCAGCTGAGTACGTTGTCGCTGCTGTGACACTGACACTGACACTGACACACACACACACACACATACACACACGCACACACGCACGCACGCACGCACACGGACACGCAGAGAAGATTCATTATGAATAGAAATAATCTGTGTTTTGGTTCTCTTCGTCATTCTGCTGTGTGCTACTGCTGCCACGCCGTCAGCCAATGCCGCCCGTGCTGCGAATGCTGTCAACAACACTGCGGGCGCTAAATGTGTCGCGACCGTTTCGTGGCCAGAACAGTTTGGCCTAGCTAGAATGATTAGCATATGATGTTCGATCCATTGTCCCAACTGCGCTTCCACGGGGCATTTTCACGGTGTCATATCCTCTATTCATTTATGCCATCCATCTTATGTCACATGCTGTGCATATCGAAAATTATCGCGGCCAGGCTTCGGTACTCCTGAATCGGAACAATGTTGACTCATAAGAACAACGACGGGACGGAAGAATGACTGATAAGCTATAAGATCCTACAGCCTTAGCTGCGCTCGATAAGCGTTGTCATTTCTGCAGGAATAGCCCGCGAAGTGTTCCGCTGTACAATAATCGATAAATCGTGTAGGCCGAGAAGGTTTGTTTCTCGTCCTGTTTTCCCGCTGGCCTTGTCCCATCTTCCACTTTATTAAATTGATACCTTCAACATATGCTTACCTGTTGCATACATGTTTATACCTATTCGCAGCTGCTTAACTGTACTTATTGACAACAGCTGAAAAACATCGCTCGTATCTGTTTCATGAGATTGTCCATTTGGCTCTCTCGAGATTGCTAGTGATTTATTTATACGAGGCACTATTATCTTCGGGCTAGTAAATATATCCTCCAACCGACTACCGTCTCTATAAATTAGCTGTCATATTGCTGATACCAATTTACCTGCGGATAATCCTTTTTATGTTTGATCTACCTACCGTCGATGTAGTGGATATGCCGTGAGATGTCGCTACCGTACTTGTTTTTAGTAACAATCTATCGTCTTTCAATGCATGACTTTCATATGCTATGATTGATAATGGAAAGCTTAATTTCGCTATCCGGTAAAAAAAATAGTTACTTCTTGTGATCGTGCTCGTATTATATCTTTTTTAATTGTACACTTGTTTTTATCATATATATATATATTTCACCACGTTGACTGTTCATCATAATATCGTCACTGTAATATAATAACTGGCCTCGCCGAAGTGTTTCATTGAAAGTACTCAATGCTATCGATAGTTATGCTGACATGCTTAAAAGGACGGGTCAGGAAATTAGCATCAAACTATAGTTTACATATAATAACATCTATGGTCAACCTTTAATGTAACAGGCAGTAGTGTCGCAACGTAAATTCGGTTGAGTTTCGGAGAAGAAACACATCCTGACTCCATTGTTTATTAAAATCCATATATCGCCACGAAGGATTAGAGTTTGCACGTGTACCTCGTACGAACATCAACGAACGAGTTGTTTTTCTCGCACTAATTTCGCTCGTAGACCAACCTGTCGTGATATAACATTATTTTTACGTCAACTATTATGACACATGTTCAAAATTCAACCCAACCAATATAGGTATATGTAGCTTGCTTCCTTTTTATACGTGCTACATTTATGAATCTGTCATTATGAGAGGTTTATTGTTGTCGTTAGTAAACATCGTCAAATGACCGTAATTGATATTATCGTGTTTGTACACTGCCGTGGTCACATCTTCTTACCAAAAGCTCGTTGACGTCGTCTGCTCCCGAACAAATCTTTCGAATCTGACTAGCAAATTATTCTCCTTCGTCTATTCCTGTCCACTCCTTTCCGTCACCCAACATCTGCCGCACCCGTCCTGCTCAGTCTGTTCCACCAGTTATATAATATCACCACGTAAATACAGCAGATTCTTTCTCTGATGCTCGTAGTAGGTATTCTTCTGTATCATGCACAATAGTTTTAGCATTAATGTACCTCGTGTTGGTTGACCTACGTTCGTCTGTATATCGATATATAGTGTAATAGTGTCACAGTGTAATCATGGTACGATTAATTCGTTATCATTTATCGTCGTTTGTTTTCTTTTGCCCATTCCTTGATCGTCTCGCTCAGCTTTCAGCGCGTCCTATTTTTTCCTCCAAACATTACACAATATCTAGCGTACCTTCCTTGTGCACACGTGCCACAGAAACATTGTTGCGCTAAAACTCTCTCTCCCCCCCCTCTCTCTCTCTCTCTCTCTCTCTCTCGCACTGAAATATACCTGTGAAAATGCGATTCAACGTGACCTATAGTCTCATATACTAATCGACGTACATGCACCGATCCACCAATCCATTGAGTTGAATAGCTTTGCATTTAGCGCTATCTATTTGTTTGCAACATGTGAAAGACAACTACACCAAGCAAGCAAGCAAGCAAAAAGAAGGTCGACTTAATTCTACAAAATGACCCGATGACTGTATTTTATGATCACCGATGACCCAACGTCCTATATCACCACCACCCAAATCAGTCAATATCCACGTTTCTTCTTTGTGTGTCTCTGTGTGCGTGTCTTTGTGGCTCTCTTTCTGCAACTCTCCTGTCGTTGTTCGCGACGTTCCCAGAACTCGCCGCACATGCGGCCGTCTCCGCCCGGGGCCCCACCCGTCGGACCCCCAACGCCCGGAGGTGGTTCTCCCCAGACCATGATCCCACCCCCATCCAACCAGGTACGCAACCCACCAACACCTACCATCATCGAACCACGATCATCTATTATTCTCTGTTTTGCCTCTACAACCTCAAAGCTTTGATTTCATTGAACAACATTTCCTTTAAACTGCAACCCTATATATATATATATATATACAAACCCAACAACCAAAATATATATATATAAATTTGACGGGATAGTTCAACTTTAAAGGACTGAGCATCATGGTCGCCAGGCACACGTTACAGCTATGTACGTTCTGTGCATCTGTAAATTTACTTTGCATTTGTAGATGTGTGCATTTTGGAAGTAATCAGATCGGTGCACACGTACATGCGTATGTGGTGCTTTGAGACTAGTGCTGCTCACATCTTGTTTTCAGTTTCTATTAGCATTATACCTACTAGTTTCTTTCAGCAATTTTAGAGCTCTCGTAGAGAGAAACGCTTACTCGCGCTCGCATCCAATTGATTACAGTATATCCTATGTTACGCCTTTCTTTCTACGCCATAATCTTGTGATTTGTTTGGACCCTTATTGCATCAGCTTTGATGCTATGATAATATGCACGTCATGCACGATTTGTACAAGGATTGATTCCTGCGCACGTACTCTAGGCAGTAGCGTATATTTTTTATGATATTCTGTACAAACTCAATACGAATGCATGGCTTTTTCACAGGCTATATCGATCACATGTTTTGGTATCACCGACCGGCTAATCGACTTACCGTCGCCGTGGACGCCTGAGGTTTCCACTCTGCTTTTGGCTGTTTGTTGCTGCTTCTGTGACGACTAGTCTTTTGGTGGGGACAGTTTTCCTACTGTTTTGGTTCGGTGACTTGCTGATTTTGGTTCCCCCGTGGGTCGCTGAATCGAGAACTTCAGAACGGTTCAGCGGTCCATGAATCGACATTTGACGTTGCCATAGCCGACCCTTGGTGTTTGCCCGAATGCTCGACGGAGTCGATATTGTTTTGTGGCCATTGTGGTTGCTGTTATAGTGGCTGTAGGCGATTGTGAACTTTGCGGCAAGCCTATTGGTCAAGCAATGAAGGTTTGTCGAAAGCTATTCGCTCCACGCCTGCTTTAGCGTTCTTGCTACGATAGCACCATCGAGGCGACTTTTGCGCCGACGGTAGCAATGGCAGAATCGACAGCGTCGCATCTGTCGCTTGAAGTTCTCTGTGGCTTCAGCAACTTCGCCGGCTCCATCCGACCGTTCGGGGTCCGAACGGGTTTCCAAAGCCATCGTGCAAAGAACGCTCCACTAGCAGACAACGAAGACCAGACCAACTAGAACCAGCTAGAACAACCTGTTGACCCCTCTTTTGGTTCTCTGGATTTCTCCATCTGTGCTGCTGCTGTTGCCAGTTTCGTACCGTCCATCCCCACTAACTTTGGCTCAGTCCGAAGTCGCTCGCATCATTCCCTTAGGCAGAACGTAACGTCATCGGCGATGGCGGTAACTGGAGCTGGCGGTTCGTTCGTTGCTGTTGTGACCGCCCTAAGCAGCTCAGCTTAGCTTGGCTCGGACGCTGCTGGAGCGCCGTTGTTGCTTCTGCTCTTGATGTTAGCGTGGACGCCGTTACCGTCGGCTGCTGAAGAGCCTTCCTCGTTGCTGATTGTTGTTGGCGGTGACGGAGTAGTGCTGTCTCAGCTCTGTTTTCGGCTGTGTCCTGCTCTGTCCCAGCATCGACCTATTGCAACGCGTATGTCTTCTCTCGATGCTTTTCTTGTTGTTGCTACCGCCGTCTCTGTTAGCCGCCAGCAAGTAAATGTAGCGCTTTTTTCGTTAGTCCGCCACACGTCAAGGCGTTGTTGCCGTTGCGACCATCATCGCGGATGCCGCATGTCATGTTTCTTTTCCCCCGCCGCTTTCTCGTCGCAACCGGCTTCGTTTCCTCCGGACGCCCTCGGTTATTTTTTCTCATGTATATATATATATGGATGACCGTTCTCCCACGAGCCGGTGTTGGTGGCGTTGAATTTGCGGCTTCTTCGTTGCCGTTCATTGTTCCCTCTCTGCTTCGTCGTCTAGTTTTCGGGCTCTTTTTTTTAAGTAATTCTTGTTGCTGCTGCTGCTGCTGTTACTGTTACCGCCGTCGTGATGACGATAGGTTGCGCTGCGTTCAGATGTTGTGTTGCATTACGTCGCCAAGAAGTTAGTCGCCCGATGCCCTGTTGACCGGTCACTCCACGACGATAACAACAAACTAACATGTTCGAGTTCCGTCGTCGCCGATGATGTTGTTGTGGCCTGTTGGGTCGGTAATGGTTGTTTTGCTGCAGTCGCGTTTTAGTTAGCTGGCGTTCGCTCTCGTTCTTTTTTGTCCTGGCTTCTCGCGTTGTTCGGCGAACGCAAGACATGTTCCTTGGTTCGAGACGCTAACGTTGCGTCGTCATACCTCGACCTCTTCTCCTATAGCTCCCACACCGCTGCTGCTGCTGCTACTGCTGATTCTGTAGTGGTTGACGTTATTGTCGATGTAGTTCTACGCGCGTGACTGACACCGCGATGCCGAAACCAGCGAGAAATCGTTCGTATTATCGGACCCTCTTCGACTCGGATGCTCTTACTGTTACTGCTGGATAACAGAGATAGGAACTCCACTATGCGACATCTGCTGTTCTTCCTGTTTTCGGAAGAGCAGGAACAGACAGAACACACATTTATCGTGTTGTACCTAAAGAAATGGAAATCTCTCACGAACGAATGATAGGAACAATACTTTAGTTCCTGATCATTATCACATTAAAATCCGATAGTGTACACGCTTCTTTGCGCTGTAATCACGTAACAGCTGCATGCGCTAATGTTGCTACGGCTACTCCTGCCCTTGTTACTGGGGCTTATGGCTGCTGGACTGCTGTACCTGTTGGACATAATATGCATGGCCGGGAAATGGGCAGGTCAAGTAATGGGGCGCGCATTCATCAAGAACTTAATCATCCAGAAAAATACGGCCACGGGTGGCTTTCTCTTTCCAGTTCCTTGGCAGCGTTCCCTTTTTCTCTTTTTCCGACTCTATCGCGTTTAGAAGCGCAATACTTGATTGTTGGTCTGTGGCAGAGTTGCAGGAACAGTTCAAGTTGACGGAATCGGCCAAATTTTTGGCGATGTGTGCAATGATAAAATATAGATGAGCAGGCAAGAGGACTGACAGCTTCGGTTCTTGAGCAGCTGTATTATCCCGCTCATATCGAGGTTATGACTAGATCACACTCTACAAGTTGCCAAGGCCAATTCGATTCTGTAGTCTGCTTTGAAAAGAAAACGAAGGCGCACACTAGTTGAAAATTGCTCCGAGTAATTAGATGGTTTAGCCCTTCCTGTGATGAAGGTAGAGGTGCTTGATAATATGGAGTACCAATGACTTGTTTTCAAAGGAGAAGACGAAAATTGCCGAGAAACACTGCGCGTAATAACACAGCTCGCTACACGAATTTAAAGAGAGAAGTTGCTGCAGTAGAAGGCTGTCTGGTAAGGCCGCATCGGACTTTACCGAAAGTACACTCTAAACCTTGGCCCAGATTACGTGAAAAAAACCCACGACCAAAGTAGATCACAAACCATATCGATGTTGAAAAAAAATTAGTTAAGGTTAGTTTACTTGGAAACAGTAATTCGTTCTATTCAACGGTTTTGTACAGTTGGACCAGGAAGTCTGTTTTTCGTACCATAAAATGTTCATATTAGTACCGTTTTCTGTGATATGGCTCTTCTGGCAAACTGCTCACAATACCAAATTTTGGCTGTATGTTTTACCGACTGCTATCGCCACGCCTGTATCATTATTTGCGTTAAACTATGATTATAGTTTTTGTTATGGTCTAATCTCGCACACATATTGAATAGGGCTCTCTGTCCCATAGATTTTCTGCTTCGCTACTTCGTTGTCGTTGTTGCTGTTGTAGCTAGGCCACTCAACTTGACGCGGCCATATCCTCCAAATCAGTGTCAGCGTCCATTTACTGGAAACATAGGTCATACGTTCTATCCATATGTCACCCCGCCATCGAAGAAACCAATGCAGGCCGCAGACTTTTTAAGCAAACTGTCGCTCCGGCAGTTCGCCACTGCTTGTCCGTTAAGACATTGAACCTTTCGAACCGTTAGGTTGCTCGTCGGCTGAACGTTGGGCTTGAAAGCCTCCAGATCCGTAGTCCTGCCTAACCGTCATAGCTTCAAGCGCATACGATAGGCGCACATAAACCCGCGCGCCCATGTGGCTGTCTAGGCTGGGCAGAAGAGGCCGCTAAGTTGTGCTCCAATTTGTTCCTGCTACCGCTAACTGTTCGACTGCCAGAACCTAGCACCATCTAGTCATCCTCGTCACCGAGCTATCCTTCTGTCTATTGCTGCAACTTCTTTATTTCGTTGTGGTATAGTGGTAACTGCAACAGTATTAACGCCAGTCGCTGTAACGATAGCCCTCCAGATGGCGGAATACATAGAGACAGACGGACTGCAAAATATAATAGAGATGCTACTAGTAGCGAGAAAAGGTCACCGGCGGTAATATTATATCCTTGTGTGGTGTAAAAAGGAGCTGGTAAAAACACATCATCTCGTCGATAAACAGAAAAAAAAGTCTATTGTAAATGATTTATACTTGTGAATATAATGAATACGAATCACGTTCGCGTCGGCCGTCTGTAGGTTCAGTTGTCATCGGGTATAGGCAAAAACGTAAAGGGATAACAGAAAAACCGACTCACCTACCAATTGGGTCGGAAAAGTAATGTTGTTTAGGATAGACAGGATGAGCGAATATTGCCAGAGGATTTGGGAAATCAATTTGATATGTAATATGTATTGATCATGGATGTATATCAAAGAGAAACCGAACGAACCCAAGCTAATCAAAAACGTCAAGTTTTTTTTTATACTTTGCAGACGCGCCGTGGTTGGCACATTGTGGATTCGGCAACGAGACCAAATTCGCCGAAAATTTCGTCTGCTATATGCCTGGCATGTGCCGGCATGCAGACCTGTTCTGTATTCTAGCCATTGAGTTTTTGAGAGTTTATCATTATAAAAACATCAACCAGATACCTAACCTTTAGAAGAACAAACACTATCATTTTGCTACAATATCATATGCAGGTTTATTGTGAAAAGTTTGCAATAAAATCAGCTCATTAGCGTCCTTGGCCCGCTCGGAAATTTTCCTCATACAGTAGCGCTCCTCTTTTTTTTTTTTTAAATGTTCTTTGTTATTTTGCTACTACCACCGCTGTTGTCCGGGAAACTTTGTTATTTATCTTCTGTTGCTGCCATTAGAGATTTCCTTACACGGATTCCATAAGAGGCAGACTCGAGTTGGCATCTAGTGGATGGCTACTGCCTGGGAGCGATCGGCAAAGGCGGACAATCGCTGGCGCCGTCGTCGAAAAGGTAGAAAGCGTTTGCTCAGACAGGGTTCTGGGCATACGAGCACACCAGCGCCCTCGGTAGCTATGACAGGAATCTTTCTCTTGGCTGGCAGAGAGTATCGGATCATCTTCTTTCTATCCTTATTACTACTTCAGCTCTCGCCCTGTCGGGACGCGCCGGCGCCACCGCTGCGACCCTCAGTTTTCTCTGGTCATGTTTTTCCGACGATGTTAAGTCGTCCTGAACTTTAGCACAGTTGCTACTGATTCTGGTGTCGACCCTGTTGTTATTCAACTTTTGCCTACAAAGAGAAATATTACGGCAACGTTTACTGGATGGACAATGAATAGCGTCTGATCTGGCTCGGTCTCGTCTGTCTAGCGTCGAAGCGACCATAGAACAGATTGGCTATAATAAGTAGACAGGCGCTAAGCGTAGATTTTTTCTATGAGCTGATTGTTATATGAGAACAGAGCATTTAATGCTAGTGTTTAGTATATGTGTGTGGTATAAATAACAATGATGGTAGCCTCTGTTCATGCTATACTATACGCGTGTTTGGTTATACACGGACAAAAATTGCTATTGAACAGAAACAGCTTTATACAGCAGCTGTGTTTAAACAATATTTTAAAAACTCCAAACTGAACTAAATTGCGGAAATGGTATCACACATCAGATAAATCTAATGTACGTGCAAAATTGTGTGATCTTTCATGGTACGCGTATCGATGCGAGCCATCAATTAACTAGACTCCGCTAAAATACACATTCATGCACGCAAGTAAACCGTCCCTCGTTCCGTTTCGTTGCCTGACCCAAGCTATATTGGAGTCTAAATACAGCCTTTCTGTTATGCTTTTTCCTCAAGATTATCATATATGATGTATTAACAGTATAACACTTTTCGTCCATTAAACGCACGTCTTCCTTGCACGTTCTGTCTGTTTACCCATGTCCCTTAGAAGGTATCCTAAAGTTTGCCCATCGCAACTCTATTATATTGAATATTTTAATTTGCATTGCATCACAATCTATATTTTTTATTGCCTGATGTATAGACTGTGTGTATATGCTTGTAGTGTACAGTACCAGTTCATAAAAACCATTGATTTTTCACTACTAAAATGATCAAGCATCATTAGTTAGTCATTTCGCTACTTATCTACACAGTAGCCATTACTATAATGTGTTGAAGGGATTTTTCCCACCGTTATATATACATTTTCTATCAACATCATAAGCACATCCACCAAACTAATAGTTCGTCATTTAAGATCGTCGTTGTGTAGCATTCACATACAAATATATATACAAATATATAGGTATATATATATATATATATATAATCTGTCATTGATTCCCCGTATCACTCTATAGCAGTATGCTGCTGTTTTTGTGGATGTTGTCATTTTCGGCGTATTATTTCTATTCTCTGTTGATCATTATTCATCATTATTTTATGATCGCTATTGTTGTTGTTGTTGTTGTGTGGTTTGTGCTTTGCAGCCTTATATGAGCCCTCGCTTTCCTGGAGGACCCCGGCCACCCGGTGGGGTCAGAATGCCCCAGCAGGACTTTAATGTGAGTTGTGGTTCATGTCATTGTCGTTGGTAGTTTGCTGATTGCTAGTGCCTCAGTTTTTCCTGTCACCCTTTACTGTACGTATCTTCTTCTCGCTGTTGTCGTCGTTGTTGTTATTGTTGTTGTTGTTGTTGTTGTTGTTGTTGCTGTTGTTAATGCTATCGGCAGTTGATGTCGAAGATGTTATCCAAAATCAGATTTGTTGATGTTATCAGATGGTCCTTGTCGTTAGTTTTAATAGTTCATGGAGTCGTTCGTTATCTTTGGCCGTTAAATCTACCTGTTTGTTCCTTACTTCTTTCCACGGTTCTCAATCAATGCTGGCCTTCATTTCTGTTCTCTTGTCACTTTGTATTTTTGTAAAATATTCGGTGCGTCTTACTGACATTAAAGACACGTCGGTTGTTTTACGTTTCGATGTAATTAATCCTGGAACGTATTTGCCATTGCCTGAAAGGGTTGTCTTTTATGCGCAAGCTAAATCGCGTAAGTGAAACTAAAAGCCGTCGAACAGAAAATTTTAGCCGATCAAATATTGTGAAACAGGAGCCATTTAAAATCACCCCGATGGTTACAGAGAGTTGACAAAAAAAGCGTAGGCTATGAATGTTGGGTATGTCCTTAACACCAACATATTTTAAATCACTATTATCTATAACAAGTATATAGTGCATTCTGTGTATTTTCTAATCCGATTCATGTGTACACCTTTGAAAAACTATGTTTATACTCGTACTATTTCCCTCATCGTATCAGTTTTTGCGATTGTGAGATTTTTTTTAGCTATTTCTACTGAAAGATGTAAAATTCCTGGTGAGTATAGTATTTTATTGTGATGTATCTGCACACATAGTAGTATCCCTAATAACCTAAAATAACGCTCTGGTGCTTCACGTCCCAAATTTACTGAAGCAAACCAAAATTTTGTTTCATCAGATTTACGTAATTCTAATTTAAAAAAGAAATCATAAGGTAAGATTACTTTATGGGGTAGACACTGTATTTGGGTTTTTTTTCCATTGCGCATCAGTGACAGCTAAATGAGGCTGCTACAATAGGCCTCTAAATACAATCATAATAAAGAGTTCTGTTGTTGTTGGCGTTCGGTGCTGGTTCGTTTACACTTCAGCCGGGCGGAGGCCCTGGTGGGATGCCCGGCCAACCAATGATGCCCAACAATATGGATCCGACACGACCAGGTACGTGCTGATATCACACTCAAGTTTCGACCTTACTCGCTAATATTTTCTAGTGCAGGTCGTTGCACTAGTTCAAAGTGAATGTATATGTATATACATATATATCTTATCATGTGTTTAGTCGACTATGTACAAATCGTAACTAGTATTGATAGCTTAAGATAAACGGGCCATCGCGGCAAAAGTTCTCATTGCGCGCCCCTTTAAAGCTAAACTCTACGCGACAGCCTTCATTAACTGACAAACCTGAATTTAAGTAATAGGTACTCGATGACAAATTTTGTAGCACTTGCTTACTACTGTTTAGTGCTATTTCGTTTAAGCATTTATGTTAACGTCTATGATTATTACACTGCGTCTATCATTGTTCCACGAACCTATACATATATGTATACATGTGGACATATATATGCTTTTTAAGGGTTCCTTTAATCGATTAGAGTAGGATGACGAACGGGGCAGGCCTAGAAGCACTCAGCAGGGGGCTTTAGCAACACTTTTTATCCCCTTCCGTATGTGTCTCGCGCTAAAACATTGATAATACAGCATACCCGTTCCCTGCAGGTTCAGTTGCCTATTCTCTAAACATTGTGTATGTTCGCGCTCGAATTGTCCTTTGCCTAATATAAACCTCGTATATATGCGAATATTAATAAGGTAAAATACATTGGCCTCGTAGACATATAAATTGGATATTTGAAACTAAAAAGCAAATAGAAAATTTAAAATATTCTGCGCAAGATTGACTTGGAGATCGGTGGTTGATAGCAAATGATCTGATCGACGTAACAATTCTTAACGTCGTAGAATAGCGCAAAAGCAAGTAATATAATAGAAGAGATAATATTAGTGATATTAATATCGATGAAATGTTGAAAAGAAAAACGGGGGAGGAGGCGCAAAAATGGTGGGCGCTTGTTTATTATTATTATTATTATGAGTCAGTCTTGAGTTCGACAACTAACCGTTGGGGTGGTGTGATGACTTTGTGTGTGTGCGCTTGTGTATATTATCTATTTGTAATTTGCGCGCCCGCGTGTCCAACCTACCGCCCTGATGGCCATGTTGCTGTTACTGCCGTAGGTGAAGGTGGTGAATTCGTCGGATGGCAAGGTAAGGCCCAGTCAGCCTCAACCCGCCACCGCGCCACCGTGCCAACAACTTCCCAGCAACCAAAAATCCGCCACCCTTCACTATCATCATTACAGCTATCATTCCTCGTGCCCACCACCCTCATCCTGGATCCATAGAAGAAACCCTAATACGAGCTACTGACCCATTTACCTGCCTACTACCTGCCGAGAGTTTTCCCCAGATATCAAAAGGGTGTCTGAAATTTTTAAAAACAATCTCACTGTACCCCACTGGAGAGTGTCTTCTTTATCCTTCCAAAAACGCTAGGTCTCAATCTCGTCTAAGTAACAGTAAACATCCTTACGATAACAGAGAGTAAACCCATCAATCAATCCAAACCCATCAAATTAGGCAACAAATTTCATTGGATATGGAAAAACATTTCTTTGGATCGTATTTGAATCGGAGATATTTCTTGTCGCAAAAATTTGGACTAAGAAAACGCTGACTTGTTTGACTGGGTCCGTTAAATCGAATCCTCGTGTTCACGCACACTGATATAAGAAATCTTATCATTAATATATTTTCTTCTAATCTCTTTTTCGAATTGTTTTTCTTGCATTACACCTCAAGTTTCCTGCTTTGTTTTGTGTTCGAAACCCAAATCTATCTATTTCATGTTCATTGCATTATTATCGCAATTATTATATTGCTGCAAGAAATTGGTTATTCTCCCATCCTCCAAAAACCCTTCTGCATCAGTCGATTCCCCTGTCCCACTTCGTCTGCCTGTAGGAAGATTCGAATGCCATTTGCCTAAGAAATCTTCTTGCGGGATCCCATATGCTCCACAAACGCCATTGTCACTTGTCACCTCCATGTTTCTGGCTTGCAGGGCTGCCACTATTGTTGCATTGCCTCGTTCGTCTCATACGTACCCCCCCCCCCCCCCCCGTTTCGCTTTCCTCATCCCCCAACGTTAACCCAAAACGTGGCTTTACAACTACAAAGTGCTTGTTTTGCTTTTCATTTGGATGTTGTGTATCAAAATTTCGACAAAATCTTTTTAGCACAATATTGGAACTGATAGGGTTTCGTGAATCCATAGGGTGTTATAATTTGAACTATATTTGGAAAAAGTTAACATTTGGTTTATTTTAATTTGGGTGCCACAGAGCGTACAGCTTTTATGCTTTGCCTTAATTGGTCAGTGGATATTGTGAGCAATTTGGGTTTATTATTATTACTATATTGCTATCATGATATCTTTTGGCGTCCTGCATGCTCTATAAGAAGAGAAAAAACTCGTAGTAAGAACTAAGTTTTATTCATTAAAAATATTTAATTCGTCAGTTTCAAAATTGAAATCTAAATGAAGTCCGGGATGTTATGAAAATTACAGTTATTAGAAAGAACTGGTTTTGTATGACTTATTCGTTGTCCTCAAAGTGTTTTTACGATTTATGAGTAACGGTTGAACCTTAACCGATGCACTTTTTTTCCATTGGTCTCTTGTGTATCTACGTTGATGCGTCGTGGTTCGCAGGACCCCCGCAGATGAATCCAATGAATCCTAGAATGAACCCTCCTCGAGGACAACCGATGGCACCCCTTAACGCGGTAAGTAGAAATTGCGACTCCTTCCTCCTCCGACTATACTACATCTCACCACAGCATTTGAAATATAGACAATTAAGCTATAGTTAAAACTTAACTAAAAACATTAAATATTCTACACATTGTACTTTACCTTTGCGAGAATTATATCTCTTTAAATTATGATTGTATTATCGGCAGTGACTGGAGCAGTGTTTCTTCTATTAGCAATAATGTGACCCTTCTAAATTTTCTTACGATATAACAGTACGGCGGAATGCGGCCGCCACCAAATGGAAGCATGGGTCCTGGCGGGCCAGGCGGACCAATGCCAGGAGGTCCAGGTGGTCCTGGAGGTCCTGGTGGACCTGGAGGTCCTATGGCAATGCCCGGCGGGCCGGGTGGCAGACCATGGGGTCAACCTGGTACACCAACTAGCATGGGCTATCAGTCGGCGTCCCCGGGTAGCCATTATGGAGGTCCCCCGGGGGGCGGACCTGGAGGACCTCCTGGTCCCGGAACTCCTATTATGCCTAGCCCGCAAGGTAAGTAGTTCAAAAAGCATTATAATAAAATTTCACCCGTACCATATATGAAATAGATAGATCCCACATAGATTTACAGGGTCATTCGGCACAACATGTTTCTTTTCCCAGGCCTCTATCCTATGAATGATAAATGATAGAATACCTAGTGCGTCCGAATATACCTAATACCAATGGTAGTAAAAGATTACACAGAATAGAGCAAATGTTATCCTGCTAATTTGATGAATATATCCACATACGGAAAACGTTTTCAAAGTGACGGTACAGCTAAGGAAATAGATAATTATTTTAGTTACAAGAAAAGTCGTTGGTCGACTTTCCACTTTGAAAGTCATGAAATGTTAATATTTCGCTTAACAATTTCGGGAATGATTTTTACGTCGTCCCTACTGGATACCTATGTATTGTCCATGACTAACGGACTCTAAAGTTCGAATGAAGATATTCAATGCCTAACCCTTTAGCATTGACAAATTTAAAAATTCACTTTAACTCGGCTCTCATTCCTTCTTCTGCCGTATTTGTTGTTCCTAAAGAAATCTGTGATTGGTCGAAAGTCTATCTAGATAAAACTGATTGTCTGCTACTGAAATTCAAAGGCGCGTATTCCTTAAGGTCTTCGGCAATAATCCGCAAAAACTGGCTTGTCTTTGCCTATCTCCCCTTCTTATGGCAATTCCTATCACTTGCTTTATTTATTGAGCTCGTGCTGCTCATTCTGTTCTTTGAAGCGCCACACAGCCTAATCCAACAACCTATCAGCCTACCGACGTGTTTATTTATTTTTTTTTTCGTTTTTTCCTACTTTCTTCCCGTTTTTGTTGTCCTTCATTTATCAATCAATCAATCAATCAACTCTCTCTCTCTCTCTCTATCGTATTTCTCTATCGCGCGGGCTACTTCCACGGCGTCGACGTGAATTCGCAGGTGGCCAGGGCGGTACAGGAAGTCCGTTCTCTCCCGCAAGCCAAGGCAATCACCGAATCTCAACTACCCCTAACCCTTCCGTAAATCCCAACAATCCGAACAACCCCTCAAACAGCAACAACCCAAACGGAGCCGCCAACAGCCGAAGAGGTGCCTGAGATCTCCCTACCTACCGATTATGTCGTCATCGCCCCCTAATTAATAGGGCGTAGCAACTCGAACGTCACTGCTTTATGATTTCCCGCTCTCGGTTCGCTTTTCGGTTTTGTTGCTTGCCATTATTCTCGTTTCTTATTGTTTCGCTAACACCGTTGAAACATACCATCACCATCATATGATGTAGCGATCATTCTGAATTATCCTCTAACAGTGCTAACCCCTAACTGTTCGGCGTCTGTTGACGGTCCTACACTAACTATCTCTGTATATTTATTACTGCGAGAAATGTTACTAATCGCAACGGAATCATGATCCATGTAAGGTCCATTATCCAAGCCGTAGGTTTTTATCGGCATTTTTGTCGATTCGATGCCTTTGAAACGGACAAAAAGAGAAAACTGCTTTCGCTAACTTCGTTCGAGGTGTTGCAACTTCTGCGATATTAAAAACATTAGGAGCCTAGCTCGAACTATACTGGTCTGCTACTCGACGGAGATCTAAAGAAAAAGGTGCAGTTTCTTTTTAGCCCTTGTCCCAGGGTTTGGAAACAGCTAATTTTGTTATAAGCTTCAAGATAAAATATCAGTGCAAAATTTCAACTCAGACAAAGGGAAACGTTTTTGTTTAATAGCCGTGTCATTTACTGCAAGAAAAAGGGCTTTCAATTTCGTAATTCCCCTAACCTATTTAATTATAGTTAGTCATAATATTTAATGTATGGCTCAATCGTAAACCAAATGGCTGGACTTCAAGTAATCAGATATACAAAAGCTGTCATTCAGGACGCTTCAAGAAGACCAGCGTAACTGTTTCTTTCGTAGAACGTACTTTATTCTGTAGGATGATCGTAACTTACTTGACGTTATAATAGAGCCTGGAATGTTACGTTATGCCTCTAATGGATGATCCTGTTTATCAAATAAATTTCACGTAAGTTTGTAAGGTACATTTATATCTATTAGACATGAACAGAGATGTCTTTGGGGAACTCTCACACATGCTAGAGATATTTGCTTGCATGTTTCAACAACAACAGTAACCCTGGGTCAAAAAAGTATCGAAAATTTGGCTCCGTTACACTAGCCTCATTCGTTTAGGTCTCAGTCGCCCATTTCAACGTGCGTGTTCCTGTGTATCGCTTTTAAAAGAATTTTTCGAACTCCATCTCAGGAGAAGATTCCAGCTTTTGCTTCTGGATTACCTCGATCGTCTTAAAGCCATTTTCTTTCAGGTAGTTGTTTAAGTTCGGGAAGAGGAAAAGCCACAGGGGCTAGATTTGCTGAAAACGAGAATTGGGGCAACCAAAGCATCGACCTTTTTCTGTAAAGACATGGTACAGATAGCAATGTGTAGGCTGGTGCATTATCGTAGTGACAACCATATTTTCGCCTAGAGTTCAACTTATTTTGGCGGACGGCAGTACGCCACTTATACGAAAGTTGCATACTGCTGTATATTGTATTGTATATATATGTATATATTGATAATAAATCTAGTGATAACAAATCTGAACTGATAATAGAATCGTTAGACATAAATTTACGATGCACGACTTGGCGGTAGACAAAAAGGACAATGAGAAGAAGCAGTTTCTGACGTGGATCTCTTAAAGAGCTTTTTCCGGTCTGGACTCACCCTTAAAGCAATGCTCAGACAATTTCACTCAATACCTCACGTCTCGTCATTGTAATGAGAGCAAATCGGGCTCCTCTTTAAGTGTTTTAAGGATCTCCTCAGGCGCTTCATGACAAACCTGAATTGGTTTGGGATCAAGGTCCTTAAGCACAATCCTTGCCATGAGTCCTCTTGCTACTGATTTATTTCTTAGAATGGTTCTATATGATTCTTGTAAAATGTCTAGCTTTCCTACGAGCTCTTTTAGGGCTATTAAAAGATCCTTTACCATGATTTGTTTTTCTTTTTCCACGTTTTTGTCCGTACTTGCTGTGACAGGCTATTCGGAATGAGTATTGTCTTTAAGACTCTCTGGTTCTTTACGAGTTTAACGAAACTTATATACTCGGCATTGATTCATAATCAATGCCCCGAAAAGCTTCTTAGAGCCTTGGTACACTCGTGGGCACGTTATTTGGTTTTTAACGCAGGACGTAATCGTGTCTTTTTAGTACTCCATTCTCAGCTTCCAAAAAACAAACAAACGTGGTTAGAATTTAGTCACTTTGAAACGCCTGTAAAATGGCAAACACAAATCCAAATTCTTTGAAGTTTCGCTTGTTTACAGCCGAGGGGCAGACTGGTGTGATGCCGTAAGCACATTTACGTGTCGGCCTTCAGCCAACAAAAGCTAAGCGCTATCGATACTTTTTTGACCCAAGAGTATCTATCGGTTTGTATGTGGCTCTTCTCTAACATCATATCTTGTATAGGTTTAACGAGAAGACACTATCTGGTATTGTATGGTGACGATAGTGCAACATAACTACTATAGCTTTTGAATATAAACATTTTAACACATTTTTCCCCCCTCTGAGATCGTTTAGCTACTTTGGTATATACGAATCTTCTACGCAACTCATTTTATTTCATAATATGACATTATTAAACAGTAACACTATCTGTCTACTCTAACTTAATCTTCCATGCTGTTCTATTTACTTTAGTGTCTTTACCTCCGTCTTCCATTGTTACCGCCACCTAGATTTATCGGGTGTTGTTGCCATGTTTGCCACAACAATAATCATCATCATTATTATTGTTATTCTTTTACAACGATTATTGAGTGACCTCGCGATTCTTTTCTGCCGTTCTTTTTTGTCTTTCTGTGTGTGTGTGTGTGTGTGTGTGTATGTGTGTGTGTGTGTGTGTGTGTGTGTGTGTGTGTGTATGTGCGTTTTTTTCTACTGTTGATACGTTGTGTCCATGCCAAATTGCTGCTGCTGTTGCTTCTGGCAAACCAACGATATTTCAGACTCTTCGAACTCAGGCCAGGACGGGATGTACACCATGATGAAGTCTGTTCCTGGGGGAGGCGGCGGCGGGGGTGGGGGTGGTCTACCCGGCTTCGGGATGGGCGGTGGAGACGGAAGCGGAGCCGGCCTACCGGGTGGTCCGCTAGGCGGTGTCGGAGGTGCAATGGGTGGCCCCGATGGGGGAATGGGACCCCCGCTCAACGGTGACGGTCTCGACGGAATGAAGAGCTCCCCAGCGAACGGGCCGAGTACACCGCGCGAGGACGGCGCTCCTATAGCTGACTACGGCATGCCCTTCCCGGAAAACGTAAGCGACGCCAATCTATTTCCGGGAGTCAACGGCCACAGCTTCTAAACGTCCGAAACTGATCCCCCTGAAACAACAAGATTCCCTGAACTCATAACTGCTTCTACCAAGCTACCGCTTCTACTACCACCAGTAATTCTTCTCCACCATCACCACTACAACAATCTACTGCTGCGTGTGTGTGTGTATGTCTACCATGGTGATGATCATGACGATCCGCAAATAAGAGCGAAAGTTTTTTCGCCTTTGTTTCTCTACAAAAGTAAAAAAAAATTAGGAACACCTCTTCTCTATGGAGTCTCTGCGGTCACTGCTAGTGCACTGACTGTGTTGAAGGGTGAAGATAAAAATTGAGGAAAAGCTAGCGCGAAAGAGAAAGCCATAGGTCGAAATAAACGTAGACCGAACAAAAAAAAAATACAGATAGCGAAATGAAGAAAGAGCCGAACGGCTTGAACCGTCCCCTCCACAAGCATGACGACAATCATTGGTTGCAACGGCACTCAAGTTGCCAGAGCACCGTGAGGCTATGGTGTGCGACCTCGGGTCGCAGGGCAAGGCTTGCGCATGTATGCATTAAAAAGGCTCGCTACCTATTGTTGAAAAGAGAAAAACATCTCGACAGAAGGAGAAAGATAAATAACAAAAAAAAAAAAAATGAGACCTCGTCGTCCATAAACTGTGTTACTACCACACATTGGTCTGTCTGACTCTGCCAAACCAACAATTGCACTTGTACGACAATTACAACAGAACCACTGCTGCTGCTGCTTTTACTGCCAATCTGCTAATACCACACCACCGTTACACTACTCGTTTTTTTTCCATAGAGAAATCAAGTAATGATGACAAAATGACCAAGCACGCCCGAATCAATCACAATACGAACTGTTATGTATCCTACAAAGTTTTATGACCACCAGTAACAAGTAGTAAAGGCTTTGATGACCGTATGTTTGTCGTAGACTGGCAAACATAAAAATAAACCCCCTCTCCCCATGCCCATTAATTAGGGAGGAATCTATGACAGAGTTGAGGTAACTTCCCCTCAGAGCTGGGAATCTCTGATCTCTCTGAGAATCGTTTCTCTTCTGATCGTTTTGTTGGGTCAGTTTGTTTATTAAAGGTTCATTGAGATAAGACGCTGCCCGATAAGTGCCCGTCTCAGATGCCGGAAGCGGACGAATAAAGAGACAGAGAGAGAGAGAGAGGAGAAACTTTCGAATGAGGGAAAGGGAGAAAGTGTGTTGTATTGTCCGTAGAAACAGGGCAAAACAAAAGAGAGACACCGAGCAGAAGAGTAGAGCTAAAACAGAAACTTTTTCTGTTGTCAATATTGTTTATGTCGTCGGTTATATGTTAACATGAGTTATAATAAAGAGAATAAGAAAACGAAAAAGAATAATTAATAGTAATCAGATGGCCCATAACTGCATACGGGCTACAGCTGCAGAGTCCCTTGTCCCCTTGTTTCCCCCCTGAATTTTAAAACCGAAAAACGGTCTGAATGCCAAAATGGATAAGCGAAAAAAGTAAATGTAGAAAATTAATTTGCGAATTCGAATGACGCTTAAGAGAGACGCTGGACTGAGCGCCGCTGTGTGATAGGTGCGAGGCTCGGAAAACGACGGACGCCATCTGGGCAAAGCTTTCCCCCGACTGAGACGGCTCAAACACGGTTCCCCCGCCACCCCCGCCTCTTCCACCTATTCAACCCTTCGTCCCGTCCTGTCCTGTCCCGTTCCGTCCTTCATCCGTAAATTCGCCTAGCCCCACCCAAAACCTAGCCCCATTTCCGAGTCCCTATTATCCCCGGTCCCCTCCCCCCGATTATTCCCAAACAGCAGCTCCTTGCCGCCTTGTCCTTTTCCCTTTAATACCTCCTACGCCTCCTAAACAACAACAGCAACAACAACAAAAACAACAAAAACAACCACAACATCCACTAATATTCGAACAACACATACAATACATAATCAACAATACGCATAATCAAACAAGAACTGAATACATCACATCATATTGCCTTATAATTATCATATTAACACACATCTCACAGCAAGAGAAACACGCTACACACGCACACGTACAGAGTCTCACCACAGTCACAACTCCAATGTGACGTCAGCCAACTCCACAGTACGACACACACGATATTCACGACCACCCACAACAGTCAGCATACGAAAAACAATCATTACATGCTAATGCCGACTCCGTTGTGGCCGAGCCAGCGACAGGTGCGCATTTTGAGATTGACGCAGAGCGAATCGCCGACGACACTGTGCCATGCCCAATCTCAATGTGCGTCCACGACGTGTGCGCACCGCGAGCACCAGATCGCGGGCGCGCGAAACAGTCCAGCGTCGTTCGAGGGCGACTCACCCGCTGCCGCCGGACGTGACGCGATGTCGTAATGGCTATTGAGTCGCATCGACATGGGAGCGTTGCGCGATCGGCGATGCGCCGGCGTCGACTTCGATCGGTTCGAGTTAACGCTGGACTAACGGTTGGTGCTGTTCTCGTGCCTGGCATTTTGTTGCCATTTCAGCAACAGACGGAGAGTGCGGCCATCCTGAAGATCAAGGAGAGCATGCAGGAGGAGGCTAAACGTTTCGAAAAGGACACGCCCTCGGACGGTGGACCCACCGACTACTTCATGCAATAGAAAAAAACAATTAAAACAACTACAAATATGACCACAACAACAACAACAAGATATAAAAACAACCAAACCGTCAACAAAGTATCAGCAGTTAATAGAATCGAACTCTAGTATTTTGTCACACAGTCACAAAAACATCGACAAGAACAGGACTAACAAATATTAGAAACAAACATCCGCGGTATAATATTATAGCATGTGGCGATATTATCAGGGCATTCTTGAAAATCACTACAGTTAGTGCTATTGTTACCAACGAAACTAAAATCGTCATGAAACAAACAAGCCCTTGAAGATTCAGACCATCCATAACAACTGACCTCCCTAATTAATAGCCAGTTTGATCTTACCTTTGAGTGGCAGTAAATCCTCTATGCCCAGACAGTAATAGTCTAATGGCTCTTATCTAAAAATATGTTCAAGCAGAAAAGAGACAATAAAAAATAGAAACAGAGAGCTTATATGGGTAGTGAGAAAATCCAGGTCGGATCAACGGACAGCTTTCTATTTGCTGAACTAAATAACGTCTAGCAAGTTTATTGTTTAGAAAAACCCAATATCCTCGCATTTCAAGGGATGCTTTTGCAGTATTATTATTTTTTGGCTGGACACATGTAGACGATTGCGATTACAATCATATATGTGAGCGGTATATTTCGATTTCTATATCTTTTTTTGTACAAATATCCATATATGTTTGTTTATGTTTGGGGACTGTAACGAAAGTGATTTTAACTTTTGTATCGTGAATCTCATGCGCCATTCTGGAGTCGCGAGTCGCTCGAAGTGGAAGTTTGTTAAATTTCAAATTAAATTGGGCGATCAGCAGCACCCTGCCTCTTGTACTAAACTATCAACATGGTGCATTGCTTTTATAGATTCTCTAAGTTCCTTTTTTGCTTCTCCAGGGAAGGCTGCAGGAGATAGACTAAATTTGATGTAGCTATTATCTTGGCCTATCGGTTAGCTTTATGTTCAGTATGTATCGAACAAATTTACCTGTTGTTTAACAACATGCGTATCAGAAAAGGTTTCCACATAGGCAACGTATTTATTTTGAAAGGTTTTCTCTTTAGATTTAATTGGCTGGGAAAACAAGGAGACGTCTGTAAAAGCCTCAAAAGTTATTTTAATATGCTAATTACGCAATGTAGCCGTATTAAACGAACGGAAGAATGTTAAACTTATCCAAACCCTGTTAACCTACACGGCCTTCAATCTGAATACGCTCGCCGCGTTGGTTCTTGGGTTGATGACGGCGCCAAATATCCATATGACGAGTTTCAAATAATGAAAAAAAAAAGAATTACCGCCCAGTTTCGACGAGGAGACAGCCCACTGAGGAAGACCATAACAATAACAGCAACACAGTAAGACAGCATTTGAAATTAGATGAACATAACAATAGCCATGGTTACGGTCAAAACCATTACAGCGACAACATCGATTTATTAACAATATACCATTATTACAAATATCACAGCATCAATTACGTACTAACTGATGCTAAAAAACGAAGTGACAACAATAACAACAACAAACACTTTCTCACTTCTGTAAATTGTCATGCCCAATGATGTAAATACATGTAATGTCGAAATACTACTATCAATTGTGTTGGGTGTCAATAATGGCGTAAGGTAAGCGGAGATCAGAACAGTATGGTGATTCATTAAGTGTCCATGAAAACGCTAGGAGAAAAGGAACGAAGCAATCATCTAATAATACAAGGGATGATAAATGGAGAAACAAGTCAGCGAGAAGAAAATCGTGATGGCGTCTTGACCAACCGCAGCACGTAGATATCATGAAGAACATACGGAAGAGCGCTACAGGGTAGCGAGACAGAAGAAGCGGAACTGAACACAGTAAATAAATATAAATACTATATATAAA